GGGGCAAATGTTTGGTGTAGTGCCCACATCCCGTATCAGAAAGCTTGGTTTCAAGTCCCAGCTCTGCTCCTGATCCCTGTTTCCTGACAACGTACACTCTGGGAATCAGCAGGTCATTGCTCAAGTACTTGGGTACCTGCCACCACATGAGAGACCTGGACTGAGTTCCTGGATCCTGGCTTCAGCCTGGCCCCATCCCTACTGCTGTAGGTCTCTGAGGAGTGAACCAGTAGATGGGAGAGCTCTCTCTGCCTTTCAGATAAATGAAAATAAAGATTAAGAAAACATATTTAAAACAGACTTGCTAAAAGTCCTATTCACCCTCCTCCTATGATTCCACCATCTCTCCCATCCTCCTTGCCAGGAACTCATGCATCCAAGGAAGGAGAATAGATGAAAAGACCTGAAGCGCCTGGACTTCCATCACGTCTTCCCAATGTAGGGATCATTTTTCTTTGGGTCAATGTCTCAGAGCCCTCATTTGGTCTAGCAGTTATAATGACATTTGAGATGCCCATATCCCATTATCAGAGCACCTGGGTTCACATTCTACACCCTTTACTGGCTTCCCGCTAATGCAAACCCTGAGAGGCAGGTAGTGGCTCAAGTAGTTGAGTCCCTGCCCCCAACCTCTTCACCCCCAATAGGAGTTGAGTTCCTGGTTTGTAGTTTCACCTGTCACAGCCCTGGCTGTTGCAGGCATTTTAGGAGGGAACCAATGGCTGGAGCTCTGCCTGTCTCTCTCTGCCTCTCAAGTAATTTTTTCAAATAAAATAAATGCAGTATCTTCTGTTAGCTACAACAATCTTTCTCTCTTCCTCTTTCACACTCAGGGTCTTGTTCAATTACATGAACATTATTCTTACTTTCCTTTTGTTAAAAATAAAGCTCTGAGCAGATTTTTTAAAGAAAGCTTTTATTTAATAAATTTCATAGGTAAAGCTTTTGAATTATAGTGGTTCTTCCCCTTTAACCCGCCATACCACTCCCAACTCCTGTCCCACCTCCTACTCCTTCTCTCATCCCATTCTTCTTTAAGATTCATTTTTAATTATCTTTACATACAGAAGATCAACTCTATACTAAGTAAAGATTTCAACAGTTTGTACCCACACAGACACATAAAGAACTGTTGGAAGACTAGTTTTACCATTAATTCTCATAGTACAACACATAAAGACAGAGATCCTACATGGGGAGTAAGTGCACAGTGACTCCTGTTGTTCATTTAACAATTGACACTCTTATTTATGACGTTGGTGATCACCTGAGGCTCTTGTCATGAGCTGCCAAGGCAATTGAAACTTTTTGAGCCCACAAATTTCGACATTATTTAGACAAGGCCACAAAGTGGAAGTTCTCTCTTCCCTTCAGAGAAAGGTACCTTCTTTCCACTGGGATCTCACTCACACATGTTTTTCATATAGGCCATTTTTTGCCATGGTGTCTTGGCTCTCCATGCCTGAAATGCTTTCATGGGCTTTTCAGCCAGATCTGAATGCCTTAAGGGCTGATTCTGAGGCCAGAGTGCTGTTTAGGGTATTTGTCATTCTATGAGTCTGCTGTGACCACAGCTCTTAAGTATAGTGCATCAAACACTCAAATGCATACATCTCAAATTCCACATCAATTTTTTAAGCCAGACACAGAGAGAGCAGAGTAGTAATTGAGAGAGCTGTAATCATCAGATCTCAGATGAAGTAGGAATTTGTTTTGGCTCAGACCAGCTGGAATTGTGCTTGGCAAACAGAAGCATCAGTGATGCAGAAAATAGCTGTGGGGCTGGCGTTGTGGCGTAACAGGTAAAGCTGCTGCCTCCAGTGCTGACATCCCATATGGGCGCCGGTTCTAGTCCCGGATGCTCCACTTCTGATCCAGCTCTCTGCTATGGCCTGGGAAAGCAGAGGAAGATGGCCCAAGTCCTTGGGCCCCTGCACCTGCGTGGGGGACCCAGAAGAACCTCCTGGCTCTTGGCTTCAGATCAGCTCTCAGATCCAGCCAATGCTGCCATCTGGGGAGTGAACCAGCAGATGGAAGACCTCTCTCTCTTTCTCTCTTTCTCTCTCACTCTGCCTCTGCCTCTCTGTAACTCTGCCTTTCAAATAAATATAATAAATCTTCTTTTAAAAAAGAATAATACCGGCGCCGCGGCTCACTAGGTTAATCCTCCACCTTGCGGTGCCAGCACACCGGGTTCTAGTCCCGGTCGGGGCGCCGGATTCTGTCCCGGTTGCCCCTCCTCTAGGCCAGCTCTCTGCTGTGGCCAGGGAGTGCAGTGGAGGATGGCCCAAGTGCTTGGGCCCTGCACCCCATGGGAGAGCAGAAGAAGCACCTGGCTCCTGCCTTTGGATCAGCGCGGTGCACCGGCTGCAGTGTGCCGGCCGCGGCGGCCATTGGAGGGTGAACCAACGGCAAAAGGAAGACCTTTCTCTCTGTCTCTCTCTCTCACTGTCCACTCTGCCTGTCAAAAAATTAAAAAAAAAAAAAAAGAAAAGAATAATAGGCTGGCGCTGCAGCTTACTAGGCTAATCCTCTGCCTGCAGCTCGGGTACTCTAGGTTCTAGTCCTGGTTGGGACACCAGTTCTGTCCCGGTTGCTCCTCTTCCAGTCCAGCTCTCTACTGTGGCCCGGGAAGGCAGTGGAGGCTGGCCCAAGTGCTTGGGCCCTGCACCCGCATGGGAGACCAGGAGGAAGCATCTGGTTTCTGGCTTTAGGTCGGCACAGCGCACCGGCCATGGTGGCCATTTGGGGGGTGAACCAATGGAAGGACGACCTTTTTCTTTATCTCTCTCTTTCACTAACTCTGCCTGTCAAAAAAAAAAATAATAGCTGGGATTTTTTGAGATGGGGTAAGGGATGCTGCAGACTAAATAAATACTATTAGATTATTCTAAATTCTTTACTCCTCAGTGGGTTGGCAACCTAGAGTAAATAAAAGTAGCAGAAAGCCTCCCAAATCTAAATTTCATCTCCTATGCATTCTACCACGTGGAGCTTGCATCATGTTCATTCTCTCTTTACAAGGAACTAAGAAGGGCCACCTGGGGGCCAGCTACACCTCTGCCTGTGGTGCCGACTTCACCACTTCACCTATGGGCACCGGTTTGTGTCCCAGCTGCTCCACTTCCAATCCAGCTCTCTGCTATGACCTGGGAAAGCAGTAGCAGACGGTCCAAGTGCTTGGGCCCCTGCACCCACCTGGGAGACCTAGAAGAAGCTCCTGGCACCTGGCTTCAGATCAGCACAGCTCTAGCCATTGTGGCCATTTAGGGAGTGAACCAGTGGATGGAAGACCTTTCTCTGTCTCTCCCTCTTTCTTTTCTCATTATTTAATCTCCTTTTATGCCTCTAGAATTTTTTATGATAATGTTTATTCTGTTTGATCTGAATGTAGCTGTATTAATTTCCTATGGTTCATATTAGCCTGATACATCTTTTTCCAACTTTTTGCTTTCAAACTTTGTTTTACTATATAACTAGATTTTAAAATTTTATTCTGGGGGCCAGTGCTGTGGCATAGTGGGTAAAGCTGCCACCTGCAGTGTCGGTATCCCATGGGGGTGCTGATTCAAGTCCCAGCTGCTCCACTTCCAATCCAGCTCTCTGCTATGGCCTGGGAAATCAATGGAAGATGACCCAAGTCCTTGGGCCCCTGCACCCACATGGGAGACCCGGAAGAGGCTCCTGGTTCCTGGCTTTGGATCGACACAGCTCCAGCCATTGCAGCCAACTGGGGAGTGAACCAGTGGATGAAAGTCCTCTCTCTCTCTCTCTCTCTCTCTCTCTCTCTGCCTCTCCTCTCTCTGTGTAACTCTTTCAGGTAAATAAATAAATCTTTAAAAAAATTATATTCTGGAAGTATTTTTTCCATGTGCATGTGTAGTGAGTACTGATAGATTTGGATTTATTGCTAACTTCTCGTGCACTTTACTACTTGTGGATTTATTTGTAGTCTTTTTGAAATTTCACACAGTATGTTGTGCAGTTTTATCAAGGACTACTTCTCAACTAGAATTACTATGCTGACTAGGAATGTTCATGTCATTTCTTTGTTGAAATGCCCTTGGGTTCAATTTATTTGTCTCAGCTCAGTGACAAAATTTTACTCGGTAACATTTTTTGATGCTAGCTGGGTTACCTTATCTTGATTATGTGAACTTGTTCATGTCTTGAATGGCTGTGAAGAAGACACAGAGGCAGACACAGTTAAAGGCAGCAAAGACTGTTTGATTCAGTACTATTCTAACAGGGACAGCGGCTGGAGTAAAGCAGAGTTCTATTCTGAATACAGCATAGGAAGTTGAGGATTAACATCCAAAAAGCAGAGTTGGGGGCATCAGTGGAGGGACAATTACTAAGAGGAGCCATCGGGGCAGGTAGACTTGCTAAAGACAGGGCAAGGACTCAAGACATCAAGGGTAGGAGATTTTGCAGGACTGTCACTAAGGTTGGGCTTGGCAGCCCAGGATGAGGTCTAGTCGAAAAGAGAGGTCTAGGAGCCTGTCTACCATTTGGTTATGCAGAGTGTCCTTGTCACAGCAAAAGCAAGAAGCAGAGGAAATCAGCAGTTATTTGCAGGAAACCAAATATTACAACCTAAGCTACCATATTGATCTCTCCCCCAAATCACACAGGTCTCCAAATTCCAAAGTGGCATATCCACTTGAAACTACCCAACACGGGCACCACGTTTAACCGACGGAGATTCTGAAGCACCTGGAGCTGACCCCAAGTCTCCGAGACGTTACCACTTTCTCTGCTCAATCTCCCCTTATTTCCGAGGAGCAAAGTGGGGCTTTATCAAATCTGTCAAGCCCTCTGTCTTCCCGTGGAATGAGCGCCCATAGCCTCCAAAGAGAAACTTTAGGGTAGCAGCGATAACGCGCCGCGCCAATCCGCTCTGTGCTAGGCAACCCCACGCCGCGAAAGCGCTCGCTTGCAACCAGTGGGAGAGCCTCGCCCGCTGGCGGCCCCGCGCCTGCGCACTCAGCCCCCTGCGCCGCCGCCCCGCGGCCTTGTGGGAAATGTAGTCCGGCGCTCCAGGCGCAGCAGCGTCGCCCGCCCGGGTTTGGGGGCTCTGCAGGGAGAGGGTGAGTGCGGGCTCTTCGCTGGGAGGCGCCGGGTGGTGTCCGAAGCCTTTGCAGGATGAGCCGAGACTGCAGGGCGAGGCTGTTGTGGCCTGAGGGCCAGGGGCGGCCGCGGTGGACTTAGGGATGCGTCCTCACCCCCTGGAGGCAGGCCGCGGAGGGAACTCCAGTGGCCGAGTGCCCACGACGCGGTTCTTCCACCTGTCTCAGGAGGTCGCCGAGGCTGGGTCCACCCAGGGAGGCGGCCCCGGGTCTGAGGACTCCGAAGTCGCTCAGGTTTCCCCGGGACACGGGCAAATATCGGGGAGCTGCCCCTCGGAAGTCTTGGCAGCTGCGGGACCGCAGGCGGGGCTCTCGCGGCTCCGCACCTGCTCTTTGTGCGGACCTCCAAGGCTTGCCCTCTGGTGTCCGCTTCCGAGGGGGCGCCGGCGTGGGTAGCCCGTGACCCTTCCCTTGGTCACAACGGGGAGGCCAACCCCGTGCACACTTGTACTGGAGGGCATTTTTTTTAAGCAATTTTTTTCTTGGAAGTTCGCTGTAGGTCCCCTGGAAAATACAAATGAGCAAAGCAATTCAAAATCTGTGTGTCGATGTGTGTATAATAAACACTTTGGCTTTAGATAGAAACTATGATTTTAGTATTGTTTTTCCATTTAGCTTTTTTTAAAAAAAAATATTTATTTATTTATTTGAAACAGTTAACAGAGAGAGGAGAAGGAGAGAGAGAGAGAGAGAGAGAGAGAGAGAGAGAGGGAGAGAGAGGTCTTCCATCCGATGGTTCACTCCCCAGATGGCCGCAAAGGCTGGAGCTGGGCCGATCTGAAGCCAGGAGCCAGGAGCTGCTTCTGGGTCTCCCAAGTGGGTGCAGGGGCCCAAGCACTTGGGCCATCTTCTGCTACTTTCCCAGGCCATGACAGAGAGCTGGATCGGAAGTTGAACAGCCAGGATTTGAACTGGCACCCACAAGGATGCCGGCACCACTGGTGGCAGCCTTACCTGCTATGCCACAGTGCTGGCCCCTCCATTTATCTTTAACAACTGAGTTATGACATGTGTGCACCATCCCCTACAACATAGCTGTTACTGGTATAACCACCACCTGATGCACATGGAGAATAGATTTTTAAAATATTAGCAAATTGAAGACATCTCCTTATTCCAATTTTAAAAAAACTACCTTGTCATTTTAATGACTACGAGGGGAGGTATGGCTCTGTCATTTAAAATCCTGTCTTTAGGGGCCAGCGCTGTGGCGCAGCAGGTTGATGGCCCTGGCCTGCAGTGCTGGCTTCCCATATGGACACCGATTCGAGTCCCAGCTGCTCCACTTCCAATCTAGCTCTCTGCTGTGGCCTGAGAAAGCAGTGGAGGATGGCCCAAGTCCTTGGGCCCCTGCACCCATATGGGAGACCAGGAGGAAGCTCCTGGCTCCTGGCTTTGGACAGGTACATCTGCCATTGCAGCCATCTGGGGAGTGAACCATCAGATGGAAGACCTCTCTCTCTCGCTCTCTCTTGCTCTCACTTTCTGCCTCTCCTCTCTCTGTGTAACTCTTTCAAATAAATAAATAAATCTTTTTTAAAAAATTCTGTATTTAGGTGTTTGTGTTCTTTCTCAGGTAGGTTGGGTTGCCTTTTGTTTTTCAGTTTGGTCTTTGATAGCGTGTTTTTCCTGGCTGTGCAGAAATGTCACATGTTCATAGATGGAAACCTCTTCCCTCCATATGTGAGGCCTCCTGTTCTATGAGCTCACGAAAATGTTCACCTGTAGTTTCTTCTAGTACTCTTGTTCCATGTGTATATTTTTATTCTTTTTCAGACGGCAGTCCCTTGCTGCAAGTTACTGAAAACTTTACCATTTCTTCACTGATGTGCAGAGTTACTTTTTTTGTATTCTGAATTTGTACACATTTTTTTTTCCAAACCGTCTGTGTTTGTAGGATTTTAATTTGTTTCATCAACCCTTGACCCTGTTAGACAAAAGCAGAGAGTTTCTCTGTGTTAATTACAGCTGTGTTCACTGCCACCCTGTGGGGTGGGGCCGAGGACACTGGAGGTGTTGAGAACACAAATAGTGAATGAGTAATTCTGCCTGTTCCGTAATGTCAGTGTTCTAATTAATGTAGCTTTATAAATTCTGGCAAACAAGTTCATTCCATCATCCGGGGAGAAGCCAGGAGCCAAGAACTCCCTCTGGGTCTACCACATGCGTGGCAATGGCCTTAGCGCTTACACCATCCTCCACTGCTTTCCCAGGTGCATTAGTGGGGATCTGGATCAGAAGGGGAGTAGCTGGGGCTGGAACCAGCACTCATACTGGCATTGCAAGCAGTGGCTTAACCTGCAGCACCACAGTGCTGGCTTCCTAAAATCTTACTTTTAATAGAGATAATTGTAACTTTTCATGGGGTACACTGATGATTCAGTTCATGTGTACAGCGTGCAAAGATCAAGTCAGGGGAATTAGCATCTCTGTCACCTCAAACAGTTGTCATTTCTCTGTGTTGGAAACATTCAGAATCCTTTCTTCAGTGATATAACATACAAATAAATTGTTGTTAACTATAATCACCCTACCATGCTTTGGGACTTATTTGTCCTGTCAACTGCATTTTTGTACCTGATAACCAATCTATCTCTCTCTCTCTCTCTCTCTCTCTCTCTCTCTCTCTCACTACTCCCAGGCTCCTGGAGCCAACCATTTTCCTCTCTACTTACTTGAGATACACTTCTTTAGCTTTCTCATATGAATGAGAATATTTGCTATTTGTCTTCATCAGTATTCTTCTGAAAAAAATTTCCTGTTACACAGCACAACTTTGACCATTTCCCCCTATGATTTACTTTAAAATATTACTTAGGTATAACTTGATTGGGAGTGCACTGAATTTGAAAATGAACTTCAAAGAAATAACATTTTAGAATATTGAGATGTCCTATCCAGGGATATGCCTTGTCTCTCTCCATTCATTTTTCTTTATCTAAGTAAAGGTAATAATTTAAGCTGAATAAATTTAAAAAGTTTTCTTTGGGGCCAGTGCTGTGGTATAGTGGTTTGTAAAGCTGCAGCTTGCAGTGCCAGCATCCCATAAGGGCACCAGTTCAAGTCCTGGTTGCTCCTCTTCTGATCCAGCTTCCTGCTGATGGTCTGAGAAAGCAGTGGGAGATGGCCCAAGTGCTTGGGCCCCTGCACCCATATGGGAAATCCAGAGGAAGCTCCAGGCTCCTGGCTTCAGATTGGCTCAGCTCTGGCCATTGTGGCCATTTGGGAAGTGAACCAGCATATGGAAGAATCTCTCTTTCTCTCTCTCTCTGCCTCTCTGTAACTCTGACTTTCAAATAAAATAAAATAAATCTTAAAAGTTTTCTTTCTGTGGATGCTATTTTTTTTTTTTTTGGACAGGCAGAGTGGACAGTGAGAGAGAGAGAGAGACAGGGAGAAAGGTCTTCCTTTGCCGTTGGTTCACTCTCCAATGGCCGGCGCGGCTGGCGCACCGTGCTGATCCGAAGCCAGGAGCCAGGTGCTTCTCCTGGTCTCCCATGGGGTGCAGGGCCCAAGCACTTAGGCCATCCTCCACTGCACTCCCGGGCCACAGCAGAGAGCTGGCCTGGAAGAGGGGCAACCGGGACAGAATCCGGTGCCCCAACCGGGACTAGAACCCGGTGTGCCGGCACCGCAAGGCGGAGGATTAGCCTATTGAGCTGTGACGCCAGCGGATGCTATTTTTTTTTAAAGTATTTATTTATTGATTTGAAACTCAGAGCCATAGAGAAAGAGAGGCAGAGAGACAGAGATCTTCCATCCACTGGTTCACTCCCCAAGTGGCTGCAACGGCCGGATTTGGGCCAATCCGAAGCCAGGAGCTTATTCTGGGCCTCCCACGTGGGTGCAGGGACCCAGGCACTTGGGCCATCTTCTTACTGCTTTCCCAGGCCATAACAGAGAGCTGGATTGGAAGTGGAGCAGCCGGGACTTGAACCGACACCCATAGGGATGCTGGCACCGCTGGTGGCAGCTTTATCCGCTGTACCACGGTGTCAGCTCTGCCATATCTTTCTTATGTAGTTTGTTGGTATTTTATTTTGTCTTGTTGCAGGAGTCGCATTCTCATGATTTCTGTTCCTTTCCACAGCTCTGCCTCCCCCTGGAGTCTGTGCATCCCCTAGAAGGACCCACAGGAAGAAAGGAGAAGGCCATGGTTGCTGGGCGACTTCCGCTGGGGGCTCAGGTGAGCTCTGTTTCCCTTTCAGCCACTACCTTACCACTGTGCAGTGTGAGGGCTTAGCTGCAGGGTGGGACTAGTGAGACATCAGGAGGGGAGGTTGGAAATTTTCCACAGAGGTCCCCCAGTGTCCCTCACCTGTGTTCTCAGCTTCCACTTATAGTCAGCTGGTTCCCCTGGTCTGCTGAGTTCTTGGGGGTAGTTCAAAGTCAGAAAAGGAACACAAATCCTACCTGAGATGGTCCTCGTGCTTACTGATCTCACAGACTCTTGGGGATCATAAAAGAGGACGGCTCTGTACCGGGTCAGACCTAAGGATAGCACCTGGACGAGATCATTGGGACAGGTGTGGGTAGGTTCCTGGACTACCAGTGTTCCAAGACCTGCAGAAGGGAAGATGTGCTGACCAGGGGAGGTATCAGCATCTCGGGATGAGAAGGGATAGCTGGAGAGGATTTGCTGTCACAGAGTTGCAGTGTTCCCAGTTTGAGTCCTGACTCTGCTACTTATTAGCGGCATTATCTGGGGCCAGTGACTTCCCTGAAGCACGCTTTCCCATGGTGAAGACAGAGATAGCAGCACTAACTCTGTCTGCTGCACACTTGGCATTGCTGAGGGTTTCACGTGCTGCATCTCATTCACTAATGCCCACGTCATGGATTTCTAGAAAGGTCAACTAAAATAGTGTAAGTGAAAAGTGCCAGGCTTGGTTCCTGGAATGTTGAGGGTAAGTGTGGAAGGCATTCTTAGTGTTCTTGCAGTCCAGAGCTCCGGGTGTTGAGTTTTAGAGCTGGGGTGAACATAGCAGCGACGGAAAGTGAGACACCTTGGACTGGAGTTGAGGGAATCACAGGGTTTGAGGTCAGGTGCTGGGGAGGAGGCGTCTGTGTGTTTGCTGGGGTGTTGATCATGGGCTGGAGGAGGAGCTTGGGAGCTCAGCCTGAGGATTTCCATAAAGGGCATTTGCATGACGAAAGGTTTTCTACAAAAAGCAATCCCTTAGAGGAATTCATGGAGCCAGAGCAGTGAGGAGCCCAGGCTGCTCTAAAAAAAAAAAAAAAAAAAAAAAAAGATTCAGAAGTGCTTGATCCCAAGTCCTTTTTGTTTTTTGAGGATTATTTCATTTATTTTTAAAAAATATTTATTTTTATTTATTTGAAAGACAGGGTTACAGAGAGAGGTAGAGACAGAGAAAGAGGTCTTCCATCCGCTGGTTCACTCCCCAGATGGCTGCAATGGCTGGAGGTGCGCTGATCTGAAACCAGGAGCCAGGATCTTCTTTTGGGTCTCCCAATGGGTGCAGGGGCCCAAGGACTTGGGCCATCCTCCACTGTTTTCTCAGGACATAGCAGAGAGCTGGATCGGAAGAGGAGGAGCTGGGACTAGAACTGGCGCCCACATGGGATGCTGGCACGTCAGGCCAGAGCTTTAACCCACTGTGCCACAGTGCCGGCCCCTATTTCATTTATTTTAAAGACAGAGTGACAGAGAGAGGCAGAGGCAGAGAGAAAGAGATCTTCCATCCACTGTTTAACTCCCCAACTGGCCGTGATGGTCGGGACTATAGGAACCAGAAGCTCCATCCAGTCTCCCACGTGAGTGTAGTGGTCCAAGCATGTGGGTCATCTTCCACTGCTTTCCCCATTAGCAGGGAGCTGGATTGGAAGCAGAGCAGCTGGGACTTTAACTGTTGTTCTAGTATGGGATCCAGCATTACATGCGGCGGCTTACCTGTTTTTTATGTTAAGTTTACTTAACTGTGTTGTCTGCAATACTGAAGATCTATCTCACTGATGTTTTCTCTTTTAATAAGATTTTTTTTTAAAAAAAGATTTATTTATTTATTTGAAGAGTTACACAGGGAGAGAAGGAGAGGCAGAGAGAGAGAGAGGGAGAGAGAGAGAGAGAGGTCTTCCATCTGCTGATTCACTCCTTAATGGGCTACAATAGGCCAGAGTTTTTGCGCTGATCTGAAGCCAAGAGCCAGGAGCTTCTTCCAGGCCTCCCATGCGGGTGCAGTGGCCCAAGGAGTTGGGCCATCTTCCGCTGTTTTCCCTGGCAGATTAGCAGAGAGCTGGATCGGAAGTGGAGCAACTGGGACTCGAACCAGTGCCCATGTGGCACCAGTGCAGGCGGCAGCTTTACCTGCTACGCCACAGTACTGGCCCCTTCATAAGATCTTATATCAAGGTCCTGTTAAATATGTCACATTTGCTTATCAAATAAGTCAGTTTAAAAGGCTTCATGGAGATAAGGATAAACTTTTGTGGTTTCTCTTTGCACTCAGCATCACCAGATTCAGTTTTGAAGGGGAGAGTAATTCACAATGATGGAGATTAAAGAGAGGGAGCTCGTGGGAAGGGACAGAGTACCGAGGCTGATGAAGGTTGTAGTTTGGTTATCAGAGGCTTAGAATTTATGTTAGTTAAAATAGTGTTAAATTTTAAATCAGCTATTTTGAGATCTAATTTACATAAAATAACCTATTCAAAACATATAACTCATTGAGTTCTGACTAATTTATGTACCAATACAAACACCACCCAAATTAAGATACAGAACATTTTTGCCACGAAACTCTCCTTGTCACTATTCTAGTTCCCGTCTCCCCTCACAGACAACTGCTGGTTTGCCACATTTGCTTTCATTCTCTCTTTTTCCCCATTTATAAATGTACATGTATGTGTGGGCATGCATGTGTGTGTGCTGCACGTGTGTGCACACATATTTCTCAAGCATCTGAGAATAACTTATAGACATGGTTTCCCTTTAACGTTTTCCGTGTTTCCTTAAATCAAGGCCACTCTCTTACATAACTAAAATACAAGGATTAAAATGAGGAGACTTACATCAATAGAATACTGAGACCTCATCTACAAGCTTTACTGGAGATGTTCTTCTCTGGTCTGGGGTCTGTTCCAGATCACACCATTTGCACTTGGCTGTCTCTGTAGTCTCCCTTAACCTGGAACAGTTTCCCAGTGGTTTTCTTTGATGACCTTGAAATTTCCGAGAGTATACAGGCCAGCTGTTCTGGGAATGCTTCTCAATTTGAATTTGTTTGATGTTTGTTCATGATTTGTTTCAGAGTCTGAATATTATGATTTGGATGATATATGCACAAGTACAAAATTTTAAAAATACAAATGAGCAATCCGCAGTGGCTACAGAAGACAGGAGGGCAGGTGTCCTGGGGGGGAATCATCTCAGTAAAATAAAGCTGCTTCCTCCCTTGTCTCTGAGCCCCTAGCTATCCCTCTGCACAGAAAGGCAAAGATGGTAGTTTCTGACGTTGCCTTCCAGAGATGACTACGGAAGCCCATATGTGTATACATTTCCCCCAATTTTTATCCGATTGGTAATATGACGTTGTACCTTGTCTTTTAATGTTAGTTTTTTTGCATTTCACGACACATGCTGGAGACCCATCCGTATCATTACTAGAGGACTCCTCTCTTCCATTGTGAGTGTGCCAGAGTTCACCCAGTCAGTTCCTACCAATGGGCAGCAGCTTGGCTCTTGATATTAGCCAGCTACAGGCATTTCTTCACTTGGCTGCTGCTTCTGATCTCCTGGAGCTTTCCAGCGAATAATGGGAAATTGCTAACACGTCGAGAAGTAAAACATGATTGGCAACTAGATGTGATTACATGTTACACATTGAATGAACTTACAAAGTATGGTAATAGTTCTGGGGCACATCACTGCAATATTAGATCTGTTTTCCTTTTCTTTCTTTTTCATTTTTCCTTTATAGGCAGTGATGTTACCGTGAATTGCCCGTGTGCAGCTTTCATTTACCTTTGTATTTTATCTTCTTTTGCTGAATGTAGATATTAGGTACATGGGGCTGGCATTGTAGTGTAGTGGTTTAAGCTGCCATCTACAAAGCAATATCTCAAATGGGTGCAGTTCAAGTCCTGGCTACTCCACTTCCAATCCAGCTCTCTGCTAGTGTGCTCATGCATGGACCTCTGACACCCATGTAGGAGACTCAGATGGAGTTCCAGGCTCCTCTGTGTAACAAATAAATAAATAAATAAATACATTTTTAAGAAGTTAGGTATGCAGCCCAATCATAGCTTATAGCCTTTTAAAGACATGTAAAGGCTTTAAGGTAATAATTCCAGGTTTCCAGCTTTCAAAAATAATTATGAATTACATTCTACTTTTAACATACCTATCTACATCCTTTGCCCACTTTTTTACACAAATTTTATAATAGTCATGCTATGTTGCAAAAAATGTAAATTATATAATACTGTAAGCCTATAAGGCATTATATGTGATGTAAGAAAGCTGCTACTAAAAATTATTGACATTTATTACATTTTAAAAATTATTCTATGTTTTAAACATAAGTTTTAATCAAGATGTAATTTAGTTAATTATGTTTCCCCTTAAAAATATTGACCATACCATTTTCTGATTACCTCCTATTTGCAGAGTTCATAATCTGTTGCTTCTACCAATGAACTGTCCTCCCTCCAAAAACTCCACTGAAGTCTTTATTATTTTTTAATTTTTAAAAATATTTATTTTATTTATTTGAAAGTCAGAGTTACACAGAGAGAGAAGAGGCAGAGAGAGAGAGAGGACTTCCATCTGCTGGTTCACTCCCCAAATGGCCTCAATAACTGGAGCTGGACCGATCCGAAGCCAGGAGCCAGGAGCTTCTTTCAGGTGTCCCACCTGGGTGCAGGGACCCAAGGACGTGGGCCATCCTCTACTGCTTTCCCAGGCCATAGCAGAGAGCTGGATTGGAAGTAGAGCAGCTGGGACTTGAACTGGCGCCTTTATGGGATGCCAGCAATGCAGGTGGCAGCTTTACCTGCTGTGCCACAGTGCTAGCCCCTGAAGTCTTTTAATAACAGTCTTTTCTTTAGTATTGTTTTATTTTCCACGGGTCTGAAGTCTTCATTTCTCCTAAAGCATCTGTTCCAGACACATGTGGTAGAATGTGTATCTATCAGTAAGTCCACTTTTTTGGGGGGAGGGGGTTGTTT